CTTTTCCCAATCCCAAACAGCAACCCAATTTCTCTCAGCCGAGAGAGCTTGGCAAATATTTTCTTAATTAGTTGCTGCCAAGGCTTTTCCGGCTCACGAAAAAAGTGCAGCAAAGCAAAAACGGAGAGGAACTGAGTGTGAGGAAAACAGGGAAAGGCGGTTGAGTTGGCCAGTTGTCAAGTGTGAAAAATTGCAGCTCAAATTGCAGTACAAAATGGCTTCAAGCGGTCGTTAAAAGTCACGCAGCACGCAGAGGAAAAGCTAGACGGGGGAAAATGTTTCAAAATTTATGCGTATGGAAAACAGAAATTATATTAATTACAAGAGTCACCGCGGGGAAATGTGGGGAGCAACATTAAATTGCAGCTGCTACGGAAACAACGACAACATCGTCACCAAGGGGTTAAACAACACTTGACATTTGTCCTCATCTAACACCCTCCCCCTCCGGCATACATAAAAATTGCATAAAATTTGCATGTCAAAAGTGCGTCTCGAGTTTTTCGCCCGCTTTTGGTCCACCCCATTTGGCCATCATCAGTGTTGTTTAGCAAGCATTTGGGGAATTTACTTTCGCTGCGTTGGAAATTTGCAATCAACATAACAATTATGCGAAAATGCAAAAGGGGAGCTCAACTTTGCACCATCAACTTGTTTATATATAACTAAACTTGTGTTTACTTGTGTACAGAGCGAGCTCCCCTCGCCATATGGGGCTTGTTTTTTAAAGTTAAATCTCATTTAAAGATCCAGAGGCTAATTAGGGTGGCACACACATGTTAGCCAGCAGAGGGGTCGGAAATAAATCGGAGGTCCTATACGACAATCTCGTCATTGTCTGCCCCACAATCAGATAATCGGAGCGTAGCACTGCGATTGTCAAAGCGTATTTAATGAGCAGACTCCCGGGTACCAAAATCCACCTAGGCAGCCATAGACACTCGCATATATCACCCCTTGCCACACCACCACCCAAGTGGTGCTGTGCCGTTGTTCTTCCTGTGAAAATCACAAAATCAGTTGGCAAGAAATCACAGCAGACAGTGACGTAGAGTGTGGGAAGGGGCTTTAGGTTGGGGGGAGGTACCAAAACCGCGGCGACAACATCGAAACAACGACAACGACGACATCATGCTGGCACTGTTTGCTGGGGGATTGTGTTTTTTTGGGTAGAAATTGCTATGTGTGCTAGTGCACTCAGCAAAAAGAAGGTCATTAAGTACATTTAAAGAATAGAAAAGAATTGTTAACATTCCTTCGTATATTCCATATATATATTTTAGCCGACTTTATATGGTAAAATACTTAGTACTTAGTATTCCTTTCCCGTAAGAAAACATTTTTCTCCGACTGTTAATTTTGTGGAATGACTACAAGCAGACGGAGAAAAGCTTGTGGCAAATACCGCGATGCGTGTCTGTCTCCGTTACCCTCGATTGCATTCGAGCGGATGGGGGGTGGGAAATTGCGGGAAAGTGGAGGAATTTTCCGTGAGGAAAACCGACATTGTCTAGGCTGATGTTGGCAGCTTTTTGCTGTTGCCTAGGTAGGATAATGACATCAATATGCTTGACAAGACTTGCAGAAGCCAGAAGCCAGTGACCTTGAACCGAACTTTTTTGGGGAAATACTTCAGAGAGGCACAATGAGGCAGCATGAAGTGGATACCTCAAGTACTGATATAGCTGAGTTCTGTTCAGTTGGAATGTGCTTCATTAGCAGCCTCGTTCGATAAGAAAAGTGGTAACTGGTTTTTCCTACTAAAGACAGAGGTTTCCCTTCCACCTGGTTGAAAATGTCTGGGGAATTTGACCAAAAAGTGCCACCAAAGTGGCAAGGACGGACCACAGGACTTTTTCATTAGTGCAAGTGCCGCACAGCTGCATGCCACAAATACACACACACACACACACAAACACACACAGTCACACATGGCCAACTACCGACACGTTCCAGGCATTGCGAAACGTGCCAAAAAACATTGCATAAGCGCAGGCGGACAACGAAATCAGTTGTGCAAAAAGGGAAAAAGAAAGAAAGGGAGAGGGGGGAGGAAAACAAAAAATGAAACGTAAATAAGAGAAAAGGCGAGGACAATATTTTTGCTCCTCCTGCTGATTCCTCTTTTTCTCGTGTGAGAAAACAAATCTCAGCCACACATACCCAGATATTTGCACTGAGCGAAAAGGTGTTGGAGTATCAGAAAATATGTAAAAACGTGTCAGTAATCTCATAATTATTCTTATTTATAGTGTTAAAAACTACAAGTTTGTATATGGTAGTACTACTCATTGTCAACATCTTGATATAACTTAATAGTAAGTTGAAGTATCAAAATAAGTAACAGTCATATATCACTCATCCAATCCTTGTTAAAAATATCTCAGAGTGCCAAACTCCATCATCGAAAACCGTAAAAAAAACAATAACTTATTCTAACTACACATTGCTATGAATACTTGATTCCTGGCTTAACTATGAACCCAACTCGATCACACATCAAATCCATATAAAGCACTTCTCCAAGTGCAGTCGTTGGCAATGCGTTTAGCAATCAGCTCACGACTTGGCAGCCAGTCCGAGTTGCAGTGACTTTGCCTCAGAGCTGTCGTTGCGCATACGCCACGTTGCACTGCGCCCATCCGATGGGGCGTGTGTTAATAATGCGTGACATAAACTGGAGCTCCCGACAAGACCCGTCGATGGCACAAACGAATTGAGTTGACTCGACTTGAGTGGGGCATTTTAAGTGACAGTTTGTGCAAGGAGTGAAGGGTAGGGAACTGGTGGAAGCAGAGCAACTGCAGACTTTGTCTGTGACTTTGGCGAGTAAATGACATTGTCATTGTTTTATTGACATGCCGAACACTCACAGCGAATTCAGAAAGGAAACTAAGGAAGAGCACAGAGAGAGAGAGCAAGAGAGATGTGCCTTCATAACACTTAAATTTTTTTTACTTAAAATATGCAAATAAGTACTGCCAAAGTGCCAGTGGCAAGTGCGCCGCCTTTTAACCAAACTTCCACCCTAATGTGCACGAGTATGTGTGCGAATGTGTGAGAATTTCAATTTCCTGCTCACACCCAATGCCAATCAAAAGAAAAACCCCGATCGAAGGACGGGTGAATAAATTTACAGCCAACAGCGAGGAAATTAAACCAAATTGAAATTGTTTCGCGTTCACACACAAAAGTTTTCCTTTTCCCTTAAAGGCTCCTTCCTGGCCTGGCCTTTTTTCGGGCTTAACTTAAGACGGGGAAAGTTTTAATTTCCAATTGACATTTTGCAAGTGCATCCCTAATCCCGGATCCCTGTTAGCTGGGCCAAAGCGGGCTGAAAATAATTACAAACTGCAATTATTAGCCCGGCTAAGGAGACGCTGCCAAGGCAAATCCAATTAAGTGAAAAGCAAGTGTAAGCCGATGCCTTTTACCTGACCAGCAGCAGCTCACCTGAATCCCCCGCCCTGTAGTTAACTGGGTAACTCTAGCTGCTGACCTTAGCCTGTTTTTTTTTGTTCTCTTTCCCAACCCTCCTGGTTCTGGCCACTCCTCTCTAGATTTTCCCTCCCCTCAAGTGTGTCACTCGCTTTTTCCTTTGGTTCTCCAGTTTCCCCCTGTCCTGGGCAAAACATGAAATGAAATTGCCCAGCTAGAGGCACAACAATGACTATAGTAATAATAAATAATAATGGTTAAATGTGTTTACAAAAAGAGAGAAATCTTTTGCTGTTATCTGGACCAAAGCCTCCTTCTTGCTCTTCGCTCTTCACTCTTGGACTTGGACTTGGCTTACTTTTGTCTGCTGTGAACTGTCGTTGCGTGTTGCACACAAAAACACCCGTAGATTTAGTTCAGAGAAAGAGGCAACAAGAAAGTGATGGGCAAAGAGGCAAAAAGAAAAAGGAGGGCCAGCTCTGTGAAAGAGAATGAGATATTATGTGGCAAGAGTTGCTTCACCAGTTGGCAGTCCTACTTAATTTTTGATGCGAAAATGCCACTTGAGTCTGCTCGAAGTGTTTTGTGAGAAAATTATTTTAGTTTTACTATTTCGGTAACGTGTGGCTTGAAATTAAAATGTGGCTTTGCTTAGAAATAGTGCAAGCATATGTGTTACTCTAACTAAGTCATGAAATTAGCCACTCAAGAATAAATAATAAATACTTATATATCCTTTGTTGGGAATCACAAAAGTTTTGAGTTGTTAAATAGTTTTTATTATAATAAAAGAGAACACAAATGTAGTGAAAACTTATCTAAGAAAACCATTGAAATTCTGTCTCCATCAATAGTCTCATTCAAATTCTAGCACTTTGGAAGACATTCTGAAACCACCCTCGTAATCCTCTGCCCCATAATGAAAGTGAAAAACTGTTGCAGCAACGGCAAACAATTTCGCAGCCGAGGAGAAAACTATTTCAATTGAGGTAGAAAATGAACGACAAGGACATGGCGGCATTTCCCTCTGGTTTCTTTTTTCTTTATTCTCGTATTTTCATTTTCCTTTTGGCTTTCTATGTTTTTCTTGGTCTTGCCATGAATGGCTGTGCCCACTCCTCTCCATTTCTTTTTGTGTGTTTGCAGTTTAAATTGCACTATGAAAGGAATTTTTTGGATTTAAGCATTCGTTTTCATTTGGCTTCTGTTTCTTAGTTTTCTATTTTTTACTTTTTTGATTGGGATGCCAAGTGGGATAATATGTCAAGTGGCATAAGTCGGTGGAGGGACGGATAAGGGGTAAGAGAGCCTGTGCACCTGGCATTGATAGGATCGGAGCAGGTGTCATCCCATTTGGCAACCAGGTCTTAACTTGGCCATTTACGGACGGCTAGCTGTGTTTGTGCTGCCCCCGGCTTAGCCCCAGTTTTCAGTTTTCTGCTTGAATCAAGTTGCAAAAAGGGGCAAAAACAGCTGCGGCAAGTGGCCCGATTGAGAAACAGTTGTCCTCCCCGATATTGCCCGACTTCTGGGCAGTATAAAAGGGGGATTCACTGGCTGGCAAGCTAGCAGTCAAAGACTGAATCAGCAGCATGTCGACAGTATTTGTAGTTACCCTCATTCTCTTTGGATTCCTGCAGGTTGTATACAGTCAGGAGAATACAACAGCTACGCCCACGGACTACTGCAAGAGTGGTCTGTGCCACATTCTCAAAAAGCACATTGCCTGCCGTAACAAAGGAGTAAGTTCCCACTATTTACTCAACTTAATAGTACAACCATCAAGGGTAATCTGCCTCCTCTTTAGGAGTTAGCACAGCAGTGTCCTCCGGACGCCCAGTTGGTCAATCTCAGTGGTCTGCATGATCTGATCCTCGATGAGCACAACGGCTTGCGTAATGTTCTGGCTGCTGGTAAGGTTCCGAATCTACCTCAGCCCGATCGCATGGCCACACTGCAGTGGCATACCGAACTGGCGGATCTGGCCACACTGAACGTCAAGCAGTGCACTCTGCAGCACGATCCTTGCCACAATACTCAAGAGTTCCGTAACTCTGGTCAGAATCTGGCCTTAATCAACATAACCAAGCTGGAGAGAGAGGGAAATCATACAGATGAGAGTCTGATCAAGATGTCTATTGGTGGCTGGTGGAATCAGAGTGCCAATATCACCAAGGAACAACTGCAGCGTTTTCCCAACGGAAAACTAGGAGAGTGGGTTTCCCTAAGCTTGATTATATTCTCTTTTTGATAATATTTTTCTCTTAATCAGTTCCTTTCGCAATTTCGCCATTATGGCCCGCGACAGCAACACATTTGTGGGCTGTGCAGCCTTGAGGTTCGATAAGCCCGCTGGATACCCACAGTTTCTGCTGGCCTGTAATTATGCCAGCAATTATATCCCAGAGTGGCCCATCTACAGGGAGAAAGCCATTGGTTGCCAGTCCGGTTCGGACTCGAAGTATCCATCCCTTTGCAAGGCTGGCGAGAAATATCAGGAACCTCCCTCGGAGGCAAGCACTAAGGTGATGAGCTTTTGGAGGCTGTAGGAGTGCCAAAAATAACACCTGGCCAAAAGGGTTGGAGTGGGCGGCGGTGGTGCACTCACAGTCTATTTAACATGTTGATTTGTGTCACAGTGCGTGGCGGTCATATATCATCTCACAGCCGCATTAGCATTAGCACAGACACCTGAAGGAGCAGTGATGTCGTTACTTGGAAGTCTAACCAGAAAATGTCTAGAAAATATACGAGCTTAAAAGATATTTTCTTATTATTTTAACAAATATATCAAAAGAGGATCTTTATAGGGATATATTATTAGATTAAATAGATTAGAAAAGATTGTTGTTAAGTAAATTCCTGCCTTAATATAAGAATGGCATTCTTAGACAGCCAGAAAATAAGCTATAAAATCTCTGAAACTACATCCCTGGCACTCACACACATTCTGGCCCTATTGCGCCTCCCCCAAAATCATCATCATCATCCTCATCAGCAGCCAAAATATGATACGCGTTGTTTGGGTATGAAGAAAAAGAGAAAAAAAAAGCCAACGAGACGACGACAAGTTGGCATCTAATTTTAACGTCAATATACAAAATGTAAAAACGTGTCTTCATCAGCTCGTAATATAGAGACCGCCTCCCCGCCAGCCCTCTGCTCGTGAAGTTCCTAAGTGCCTATTAATAATGCCGCCTCGACGGGGCTAAAAAGAAAATGTTTTCCTTGGCTCTGCTTTATTTTTAGTGTCCATCCGCGGATGAGGCCTACGTTTAATATGCCGTTACTTTGTCAAATCCGAGGCTCATTAAAGTCAGGCGAGAAAAATAGGCAACATTTTTGTTCATTTCTAGCCGTCGCCATAATTAATTTCGTACTAATGCCAGCCCACATTCATTATGGCTTAATTAAAATTCAACTGGAATTAGTTTCCAGCACCTAGAAAACACCACCATTATAAACTTATCAAGCCGAAAATATTTTATATCTCGACGTTTTTTGTGCTAATTACGTTTTTAGTTCATTTTCAGTTTGTTCATTTTGGCGGAATATTAAAATCGGTAAAGTGCTGTTATTGCTGTTGTTTCTGTCGCTTTTTTGGCCCTCATTAAATGCGTGTAACACTAACATGGCCAACAACATATTTCATGCGGCTCATAAAGGCATAAATACACGCGTAAATAAAATAATGTACAAAGTTGCGGCTGTGGTAAGAGTGATATAAATTATTCTGCTACTTTGACAGCGGTGTTCGGGTATTGTTAGGGCTTGATGGATGCATGTTTTTTGGGTTTTATAAAGTGTTCCATATTAACTTATAAATATCAAAGTTAATCTATTAAACACTCTGTTTATAACATTTAAAATCTATTTAAGTTCCCAGTAAATATAAAACTATTAATAAATTCCCACCCATATTTCTCAGATGATTAAATGTAGTCGTAAAAAGTTTATCAGGTCTTAAAGCTTTCCGCATAATATATAATATGGCATATTAAATATTTATATTTATATTTCGAAATCAAAGCACCATAGCATTCCCATGGACTGTTCGTCCCTGAATGCCTCACAATTTTGATTGTTGAAAATGATTTGATGGCATGGACAGAGTGAAAGCGCCAATTTATGGCCTACAGGAGGACTATGGCCATTGCATAAATTGCGGCTGAATTTAAACAAGTTAATATGATATTAGTTGGAAGCGAGCATAAATTATGGAAGCGTGCTATATATGAGGGATGAACAATATAAACAAAGCTGGCCTGATTTAGTGCTGGCCATTTGACTGTTTAATGAGCACTCAGATGTGTCAACAGGCTAAATGGAAATTTATTTAATTATGATTCATAAGTCACAAAGCGGCTTACAGCCAGCGACAACATGCGAAATCCCATACTTTCCGCTCTCAAATGTTTGAAGTTCTGCGTCTTGGCATGCAAAGTCCTGGCCTCGGACTTTCTGGTCTAGGGCTCGGACATGCAAAACAAAAAACATCTAAAAAAGGCAATCAAAAGTTTTGGCCAAAAAGAAAAATGGCAACAGAAAAAACATGCAAAATTGACAAAGCAAAACTTTTGATTTATGCAATTTGCGCTAAAAATACAAATCCATTTGATGACACTGGGCCTGGCCTGGTCTGGGTGTGGGGCAAATAAAATTTGGCCAACAATTCCAATAAAATGGCAAAGCAGGCTTTGATTTATTTGTCCATGTCGTGGGACTGGGGAATTCCCCGAACGCCCGAACGCAGCCGCAAATGCTTAGCCGGGGATTTTGAGACAGCTCCTTAACCCCGCTCCTCCACCTCTTGTTTTTCCTCTCCTCTGGGGTCCTAGAATGTCATACATGGAGCATAATAAATGGGCTAGTAAAACTTTGGACAGGAATGGGACACCCGGCCAGGGTTTCTTGTGCCTTGTGTCAAGTCAAATGCAAATGACCGACAAATTTGCCAAGCCATATATGTATATATGGCCATATAGCTATATATGGCGATATGCAAACGGAACGGATATATGCTTTGTTTATGTATATATGACCGCAGGCCAGAACTGGCCACAAATTTCCACACAATTTATGCAGACAATGTGGTAGCGGAAGAGGAGACCCCCATTGCCGGATCATTTATTTTATAGTCCGACGCTTTAAGTTATTTTTCTTCATTATTTTTTATGTGGCTCCAAGGCGTGGCTGGCGAGGACAAACAGAAAACAATTGCCAAAGGCATTTGGCAATCAGCGCCAAATGTTTGCTCTGTTTGCGCAAATAATTTATACGAGGAGTAAAGGCAGAAGAACATCAGACCTCAGACAGGCCATCACACATACGACGAGGCTCAAGTTCATAGAGACAGGATCTTAACGGCACAGTTCATTAGCGGTCCCTTTTGGTGCCCAGGAACTTGCTTTATTAATCCTCCAAGGAGCCAGAGACAAAGGACAGCAGTTGTCATTAGGGTTCGTCCGGCGATTGCCCTTCTCTTTCCGACATAAACACCAAATTAAGTTTTAGTGTTTCATTTATTTTTGGCACTCGGCTCACATGCGTGTGTTGGTCATAGGATAATATTGCGGGATTTCGGGCCTATTTGTTTTTATGGCCCCAACTATAGAGCCTTTGGTGGTCGGGCTGTCGGGCTCCTATTGCCTTTTGATTGTTTGTAATGAGCTGCTCGTCCTGTGGCTGCGAGCGGGTCATCAAGGATATGAATAAAACAACGATCGAACAACCCGATAAAGGCTGTGCAAATGTCAAGTGGGCTCTGCTAATGCGATTCGTATGATCCACTCGACAGGCAGTGCTTGTAATGATGGGATTACCCTGCTTCATATTTTTTCTATATATTTTTTGTATAAAATAATAGTTAAATGTCTGCTGCGAACACCTTTATTGCATTAGCAGCATAATATTTTTTATTGCATTTTCATTTTATAGAAATTGCCTGACATGATTTTTGTACAACGGCATTTCGATTAAGTTCTGATTTAATTGATTCGTTTGAAATGTGATTCCAGCTGATTTAATTTATTTCTCAATTTCATTGCTGTTTATTCTGCTCATTTGAGCATACAATTTGGCTGCATTGTTCAGGCATTTCAACGCCAGTTGGTTAAATATTATTATTTTCTATAAATTTTAATCAATTTTTTAGAAGTGCAACTAAAACCGAGGCTCAAAAACATGTTCAGAGGTCACTCTTAATTCTGTTGCACTTTCGGCGGCCAATTGTGCAGCAAACATAATTCAATTAACGCCTGGCCAATTGGATGCCGCAGCCGCACCACAAAAATAGATAGAGACTGATATGGTCGAACTAAAAGAGAGAGGGCGATAGATGGTCCGGAAAGTGGCGCTTTACAATTTGCGCAATTTCCGCCTCTGAACAACATCAAACAGAAAATCTCTACTCCGCTCCCTGAAAAAAATATAAGAAAATCAAAAACAAAAACATAAAAACTTTCCTCTCGTTTGATGTGTGAATTGCGCAAATATTTTTGTTAAAAAAATATTCCCTCCGCTTCCTTCTCCTACTGCGGCAAACATTTATCTTGCTTTTTGTACACATTTTGGAGAGAGATTTTTTCCAGCGAAACTTGTTAAATGGAAAACAAACAAAGAATGTTTTCACATAATGCGATTAGCGGCCTCGGCTTCGGTCGCCATCGAAATTTATTAGCCGCTTATGCAGTCCGATTGAAGTTTAATTGAAAGCGTAACAATATTTACCAGACCAACATTAATTGACAGTTGATGTTGCGTGTCTGGCAAATATTTCATTTTTCCTTACCCAATTCATGGCCGTTTAATACAGAGATCTCCTCTGCCTGGCTCCTGCTCCTTCACTTTCATGCTCTGGTAACATCGGAACCTAATTAGCATTTCCCGACCTGGCCCCTCCGGCCAGGATGACATGGCTGAATGACAATAATTGCTTAAATAAACACCACGACAAATGCACATTAATAAACATCAGCTTGCCTGAAATATGAATTATGGCAAACCCATCTCGACTCGGGCTAACATGCAATCAAGTGCACGAAGCTCGGAGAGCTCTCCTTTGTGGCTTAAAGCTGGGTCGTTCGGGCCATTGGCAAGGTGCACCGCCATTTGCATGTCGGGCTGGTCATTCACATCGCCAACATCAACTGGTAGGTGGATACAGGCCAACCTAGAAGTGTAAAACGTAGAAAAGGGTTACCCCTTTAAGGAAATAGTTTGCTTAGATAAAAAACAGAAAAATTTTTTGGGGGTCCAATTAAATTTATAAAGGTCCCCTTGAATAGAAGATAACCTAATAAGCACGCAGCCATTCGTGATTAAATATTCAACATTCCTATATTTATGAGCCGCACTGTAAACAACCTGTACATATGCTAAATAGACAATGCGTGTCGCTTCTCGTTCTTGGTCTTCCTCCATGGACTTTAACACGGCAATTATGCATTTTTAATCAAACCAACCATAATGCTTCCCGGAAAAGCTTTCCCTATTGATTTTCTTGTATTAACCAATTGACATACATCCGTTAGAGGGTCTGAAGTGAACCCTTTTGAACCCCCGACAAGGAGAACTCTATTCCAATGAGCCAAATCAAACATTCTGAGGGACAAATCAAATTGTAAAGAATCATTTCGATTCAGTTTCGGTTTCTGGCTACATTTGCATACAAATGCAGGCGGGATTAAAATCAAAATTCGATATGCCACAGGCCACACACACACACACAGACACACACTTCAAGAATTTTCCGAACAATATTTTACTGCTCAAGACATTCTGACATTGTTGTACGGAAAATGGAGACCCCTCGTCGCCGCCTCAAGTCTTCACCTAGCAAAAAGGAAAAACTTACCCAAGTTCTTCAATTACAATTTGATTTGCAAATGACACAGAGAGAAACATGGCAAGAAATTGAAGTGGAAAACTTTGCCGAGTCAAGGGAGGAAAATGCGGAAAATGTGACAAGTCGGGTTGGGAAAGTTCAACACGAGCCGGGGCAAGTGGAATTAAATGTTTGTTAAAGGTTTCAACTGATTAAAAACGATGGAGTCCATGAGGCACTCCCTAAAACTTTTTTATGAACATGAAAGTACGGAAATGTAACCCTAGAAATCAGCCCCTCCTAACATCCTATCCAACCCCCTATCAAATGACTCTTCGGGCAATTGAATCCTTTAAGCCTGGCACTTATTTTTTCTTCTTCATGGCTCCCGGCAATAAAATGTTGCAACATTAAAAGGGCGGTGCACATAAATAAAAAAATTCGCTGAGTAAAAAATTGGGTTAAAAATTAACTACACCAAATTTAAATCAACTGCAGTGTGGGAGGGGGGAGTGGATGAAGTTTCTCGTTGGATGGAGAGAGAGAGAGAGAGGAGGTTGAGAGGGCTGTGTTCTGTCAGCGAATCCTTCGAATCCTTGGGCGGCCGTAAAAAATCGACTCGTTGGGCAGGCTGAATACGGCCGGAGTCCTGGCAGCCGTAAATAAAGCGCCGCAAACATTAATAACTCCCATTGGGTGTGTTAACAAGCAATGACCAAAGAGGGCCGAACCCGGCAGGACTGGGATTTCGGATTCGTTTTCCTCTGTTTTCCGCCCGCTTTTCCGCCCTACCCAGCCCTCTGCCAATGTGCATAAATTGCAGTAAAAATGGCGCAAAAATTTTACATTTTGTGGCTGTTGTGAAAAACGATGTGCAACAAAAAAGCGGAGTGAAACGAAAATAAGTAACAAGTAAGCAAGTAGCTCGCAGCCAGGCAAAAATTGCGCATACGCCAGGTGTGCCAGCTCCAGCAGGTCTGCCTCCCCAGCAACATAAAATGCTTGAGTGATGGAAGGATGGCATGGTGGTTCCTTCGTCCAGGAAGGTGGGTAATGCATGTAAGACAATCATTTTGACAGGCACTCTCCGCCGTGTTTTTGAGGCCCCGGAATTGGCCTCCGGCTGTGTGTTACTCATTGGCCCGTCGCTCGCCTGGCTGCCTCCTGATTACTATGCACTTTGATACTTATCTTTAATTGAGGTAGCATTCAGCACGGCGCACGGAGACGCAGGCTGCCGGCAGACCAACAAAAGTCTCGTCTGCCACGCCACGATGAGCACACATTTCATACTCGCAGGCGGTTACTTTCGGTCTGTCAGGATCTGCTTTTGCTTGGCAGTTGAGTTGGGGTTTGAGTTTAGAGTGGGGCTTCTAAAGAGAGTTGGATTAGGGTACGTAAAAGAGCTAACACTTGGTTCTTTTTCCATACAATTCTGTCCTTTTCGGAATGATATTTGCCTGTTTTTTTTGTGATAATCCTGGGAAGTTAAGCCCGAACTATGGAATATCATATTTCTGTGATGAATAGTTTAAAATGGTGAATGTAGTTAAAGGAACCCTTATGCTTACAACCGCAACTGGTGGAATCTGTTTAATGTAATTTAACGCCCCACTTCTGTCCCAATTATGCGTTGACCCCAGCCATACATACTGGTGCATATTTGACCTGCCGCCGCAGGAGTAGTTCAACTTTGTTTCAATTAATCGTTAACCCTTCCGGCAGTTCCGCAGTTCGACGTTTGCCGCTGCGGTTTGCCCTGTGCTTGCTTTATAAATATTTAAGACCATTGAACAGACAGCAAACACACACAAGCACACACACAAACACACACACTCATGTATATGTAATGCTGGCCACACTCGAACATGGCCAGGACTAAGCGTTTTATGGTCCTTTGGCCATTGTTTCCACAGAGCTGAGCCGTAGTTTTGTGGCCATGGGCTGGGTACGAAGGGGGGAGAAGGGAAACAGAAACTCTCCTTCCCGTAATCGTCATCGTTATATCGTGTATACCTCGTTCGGGGTCCAATTGTTATGCCATCAGGTGAGCTGCAATGTCTGCAGCGGATGCCAAGGCTAATTTTGCGTAAAATGAGCGCTGAGCAGCCGCTCGAATGATTCATTATGGTTCCCCAAAGGGAGTCCAAAGGACTCGTTGCATGCGCATATATGCAAATGTACACGGAAGTGGGAGTTGGCCAGGGTTTGGGTTAAAGGACCTTCCGATGCCTTGGGGTGCCATTGCACCCGCACGGCGAATCAATCATAGATTGTCAACGACCACGATTCGTTATCGTACGGTGGCGTATACGTGACGTTGGCCACTCCCTGCGGACCAACTAATTGATTTATTGCCCAAAATTAATTCTATCCCAGCACATTAATATTTATTGCACAATCTGTGAATCCGATTACCGATTACGATTACTGCCGAATCGTACGTACAGTTCAGCCAGCACCTTGACCTTTTTGCTGAGATTTTTGTCATGAATCCGCTTTTTGAATAATTTCCATTTTCGGATTTGCCCGCAGCTTTTTTGTTCGCCCTTAAATTGCTGCCATGAATAAATGAGTTGCTCAAGCGGGCCGAGCACAAAAGCCTGGCTAACGAGTCCGTACAAACAATCTGTGGACTTTCGAGGGGCACTGATGCAGTATCCAGTGCTCCGACATGGGTACTCTGAGCTCCACCCCCACCCACCTGCTATTTGCTGTTTTATATAAAAGCAATACGCATATGGTCGGACGGCATGCCGATACAGCTCTGGTATTTGCATTCACTTCTCTCCAGTGTTTGCCTCCGGAGGGGTTTTCTGTTCCCTCTGCTCCCTCATCCATTTCCACCCCCTCCTTCTGAAAAACCCTGCGAAAAACCCTGTGGAGAACCCTGAACAGCGCTTGTACGGCTTCTGGCTGGCAGCTCTTTAAGTTCTGCGGTCCATTCCTGGCTTCAGAAAACTGAAGTTCTGGCTAAACGACACTCGGATGGGAGATTCAGGACAAACCAAACGAATTACGTCGAGTTGATAGAAGGGAAGCCAAAAGGGATAATATGAGTTACATTTTCCTATGTTATTATTAAATATTTCTCAAGGAAAATCCTTTTTTCTGATAGATTGATAATAAAATATTAAAATATTACTCTTAAAACTGGTGGCATGTTAAGTAAACCTTTCCCCCAGTGCATCTTCTCGAAATGAGCATTGAGTGATGCCACTACAGGTGGCCAATGAATGCAGTTTCCGACCAAAAGGCATTTCCTTCTCCGCCAACACCGAATTTTCCTTGTTGGGCTTCGCCTTGTGGCAGGATTCCATTACGGTTTCTGCCAGAAAATACTCGATTCGATTGCCAAAGAAATGGAATTCTTTCGTAGCCTTCTCACTTGTAAATATAATTTAAGCTATTGGCCGATTCTTTCATAACTCCCTCTGATTCTTGATTGGTATTTTGGTTTTATTTTGATCAACTTTAAAAATCCCCTTTGGCCGCACTTAATTTCGTAAATGGCAAAGTTTATGAGCTGAACCTTTTGGGAGTCCGTTTAGATTGTTGTTTGTTTGTTTGTTTTGTTTGCCAGCTAGATTCCTTTTAGGCGGAAATGAAATTTTTGCAGTTTTACAGTTTTACAATTTTGCCGTAAAAGGGTTCTATGTTTTCCTTGTTTTTTATTTTTTGTATTTTGGTTTTAGGGAATGGGGGGAACTGGGAACTGGGAATGGTTTGAGTGGGCTATAAAAGCTTTTTTGCCTTTGCAGTTTTACAAATACCAACAACGACGACTGCGACGAAGTCATAGAAAGTCGTCGCCGCGTCGAGTAATTAGAAAATTAACCCCTGCCAGCAGGCCATAAATGAAAATGAAACAACAACTGTGTTTTCGCAAATGCGAGCAACTAACTAAACAACAACAACCGCCACTCCACATGGTCGCCACTCAGAAAATCAGCCATCCGAAGGCCACTTAGTGACTCTTTTTTCCTGAAGTGGGGGAAAAGCGTGAAATGAAAAAGTAGCAGGAAAAATGACGGTGGGTTGTGTCATCGCTTTAATTAAAGAACGCGACTTTAAGGTGCAGTTCCTGGGAATTTTTATTTCATTTTAACAGCATTTTCTTTTTTTTTTCTGTTTGGGCCAAGAAATATTGGTGGTGCGTCCTTGCCGGCAGGTGTTTGTCCCATTATGGCAGGCCATTTTCGCACTTGAAGTCGTATCTACGGCATACATCTCTCTTATGTCTTATATCTTATAATATATATCTTCTATATCCCATTTCCTTACCTCCGTTTTTTCTTTCTTACAGGGCTGGCCGTGTGCTACCAGCGGCAATCTGTGAGCAATAACAACCACAACAACGCCGAGGCGAAGCCCACCCACACACCCCCCTCGCATTATCCTCATGGCCACAAGTGGAACGAGCCGTACTTTGATCTCACGATGCCCAGGAACATCACTTCGCTGGTGGGCAAATCCGCATATCTGGGCTGTCGTGTCAAGCATCTGGGCAATAAGACGGTGAGTCCTGTCCCGAAGCTGACTCACTAAATCTACACGGAAGAGAATCAGGGGTATAAAAGTAACCTTCTTTATGTTAATAGGGGTCAGTATAGACTAAATAAGTTTCCTTCGAATCCTCAGTTAGTAAGTAACCATTTCCAAGGTTAAACCAACAAGTTTCTCCCAGTGCAGGCGGAGTCAACAGGGAGACAACAGCCGGAAACATTCCGTATTAATAATCTTGATTTTTATTTACATTTAATAAACAAAGCGGTCGCAAGTGTGGTGAATGTGTCACCAAATATCCACTTAGATGGCCCAAACAGACAGAGTGGGGTTATTAAATTGGCTGCCAGTTTATTATGTAATACGTGACAGCAGCCGTCACACAAACATACACACATGCTGACCACTTGTCCGTACTTTCCCTCTACCCATTCTCCTTTTTCCACGATGGCGTCACTTGATCCAACGAACCCAATTAAAGTCTCTTCTAGCCGCTTGTTAGCCCCAAAGTTTTTGTTGTTGGCCCGAAACAAAGTGTTGCATTTCAACGATCAAAATTAAATTGGTTGCCATAACAAAGTGGGCGAAATTTAGTGGCTATAAACTGTGTTTTTTTTTTTGTTAGGCGGGCGGGGGGCAGAAACAATGCGGAAATATTTTGCACGCATTTGCCAAAAATCAACGCTGTCTTTTACAGGGAAAGTTTGCAGGTGTTGGCAGGCCCAAAAACGTTGATTACGTTAAGCGATTTGGCCACGGTCATGGGGCTCATAGATTTCCTCTAGGCCAAATCCGCTTCCGCAATCAGTAAACTACACACACATCCTCCAGTTAACTGGCCGTGCTCGGTTTTTGGCCAACAGTAAATTTATGGCCAGCCCAGGCTAAAGTTTACTTTCCTACTTTTTTCTGGGTTTTTTCCCTTGGTTTTTTTTTTCTTTTTGCTGTTATTGCAGAATTAGACAGGCGGGCTGGCAGGAAAGTGGAACTGCACAGATGGATGCCACACAGTTGGCTGACTCTGTCTGTCTTTCAGTCGGTGTGTGGCGAGGGTGTGTGTGTGTGTGTGCATTGGTTAGACAGTTAGCCGCATAAACAAGGAGCCTCCACTGCCAAAAAAAAAAAAAAGGGAACAAGAAAAAATATAGGGAAAAGGACACAGACAGATGAAAAAATTTGTATCAAATGTAGTGGGCAATGTCGAGTGAATGTCGCAGGACGGGGAGTATCATTTTCCGGGTCTGTCATGCGTTCCGCACACTAATTCTAAGTTGTATGAAAATTCAGTCTGTGAGCTGCATAAATTTTGTGGTTTTCGTGGTGTCAAATGGCCTCGAACAAACTACAACTCTTTAAAGTCCTCAACCGAACAGCGTATTAATTTGGTGTCCCATCTTGCAGGTTGCCTGGATACGACATCGTGACCTGCACATTCTCACTGTGGGCACCTATACCTATACGACGGATCAGCGGTTCCAGACCTCCTACCATCGCGACATCGACGAGTGGACCCTCCAGATCAAGTGGGCCCAGCAGAGGGACGCCGGGGTGTACGAGTGCCAAATATCCACGCAGCCCGTGCGCAGCTACTCGGTCAACCTGAACATCGTGGGTAAGTATTCAGTCAGCACTGGGGAAAATTAGGGCCGAAAAAGGGGAAATGTTAGTTAAGCTAATGTAGACTATTCAATTGGAATTATAAATGTGAAATTGAAATGAAAAATAATTTACCATTATCGAATTATTTACCAAAATTAAAACCTTTGCTAATGGTTTTAATGACCTTAGGAAGAGGGTCAACCAAAAGGAGTTAAATAATTAGAGCTTATATTCGATTTTTAAGCATATATCTTTTTGGAGTTTGAACTGTATAAAATGTAAACAAAATACCTTAAAGTTACCTCTTACATCCACGCATATTTCAGTTCAGCTCGCTAAGCGTAACGTTTACATGAAGACAAAAAAGAATTCATAGGCTCTGTCAGAGGGTCCTGATGTTTGGGGAATTTCGCATATTTCTGAGTATCGCTTTTGCATATTCATGCAATTTCCAGGAGTGTAAATTATGCACACTTGGCAATCGTCGCGGCAGGATATAAAAGCAGGGCGCCACTCTGCCGGTAAATATGACAGAGAAATTTCACAAAATTCTTTCGGGCAGATTGATGGACTGACAGGCAAGCGGCCCAGCAGCAGCGCACACACATAAACGGATATCGACTTTATTTATAGGGGAATTAAGGTGTAGATAACAGGGAAAACCAACAAGGCAACAAAATCATTTCACAGCTTTTATTTTTCCCAAGAAAATACATTTTCTCTTTAATCCCGACGCTGCGAAGCGTATTTATATTTTGGTTGAATTATTTTTATGGTTTTTTTTGTCTAAATCAAACGGACATCCCTCCAGCCAGATAAGCGAGCATGAAGTGGAAAAAGCCAGAATATCAAATTTGAAATCGTGATGGGAACGCACAATTTGATGGAACAAAAGTTAAAGTTTTTTCCTTAAAATAATAGCCAACAAATTACGTATGAATTATTCAGCAGGTGGGCTTAGCCCCCCCCTAATTATAATGGACGGTGAATTTTCTATTTTTGGCTTTATGCCTGGCAGAGTACTTTAGTTGATTAGTTTAGCTGGTGGCTTGTTATAATTATTTCCACGATTTTCTATTAATATTTCTATTTCTATTTTTTGTTTCATTTATACATTATTTGTTTACTCTTTTCCTTTTGTTTATATTTTTGGTTACCCACCCACACCGATGATTTGACGATTGACGATGATCAGATCTGATAGACGCCGAGACCAGCGATATGATGCAGCAGTATTATAATGACGATGCCTTCTATATAGCGGAGAATCGGGTGTATCAGTCTAGCAACGATGAGTTCGCCGGAATGTTTGGACCCATTCAGACAGTTGCGGGTTAGTTGCTGAACTACTGCGATCCGTTTTTATTTCATGGCATACTTTTTGGCTGAGTGACAAGTCTAACCGCAGATAGAGGAAAAAATGAGGTGGCAGACGGAGATGAGAGGTCTGCTCGAGGGCTGCCATGCATGCATATTATTTTTTAATATTTTACAACATTTTTCGTGCCAACTGCGAACGGAAGGACGGGGTCGGGTATGGAGTCAAGTGCTGGGCGCCCGAGGCAAGCACTTTTCTGGCTCATGACGAACAAATTGCTTTCCAACAAGCTTTTACCTACTAACTTTGCCAGCTTGTTACGGTTACTGTTACTCCACCTATTATTTTCTACCTTTTCGCAATTTCTCGGTTGCTTTTTCTAGTGTTGCCGCAATTTGCTAGCCAGAAGATTGTTATATTTTCAAAAAATAAATGGAAATTGCAATAGAAACTTTTAAGTACACAAATATGAAACGGTATTTAATAGTTTTTGGAAACTAAAACAATTATAACGATTGCTTTAATAACAAACACACAAAGAAGACTGAGCTCTATTAGAAATACATTTTATTTATATATTGACTTTCTTTTATGATAAATTAAAGATACAAAAACGAAAGAGACGCCATTTCATTGAACAATTAAAAACATTTTTATTTGATATTTTTAGGCTTAGCTTTCCATGAGAAAAGCTAGAAGCTACTGTAAAACAGCCACCTAGCTAGAAAGAAATCCAAAAGTCCATCACTTCTCCCCACTTATGGGCCAAGTGGTTCGCACATTTAATTATACCCAAAGCCTTTGCAATATTTATTTAGCCAGAGATTCAGCGACTTAGTCATTCAGGGTCAGTGTTTTGCAGAGGCTGGGATATTCATCACTTGGTCCGTGGGGACAAAGGCTGGCATTGAATTGGCCCGCCGTGTAGAGTTGGCCTGTGTGCGGAGGTCCCGAGCTGTAGTAGCAGATGAGCACGAAGTGTATATTCCACAGATCATAATCCTGACCAGCGGCACAGCCCATATAGGCGCTCTGATCGTTGATGATATTCCTGATATCACTTTCCGCCTCGTCCGTGACTATGTCATCCATATCGTAGAGCTCGTCCAGCCATTGCTCCGCTAAGATTGTCATTTCGCGGACATTCGACTGGGGAATCACAGGTCTTGGATAGAAATCCTCGGCAAAGTTGAAATGGGGATCGGCAAAGTCATCGGTGGCACAGCAGGAGTTGTCTGGGAGTTCCTGTTGACAGCGTTTCAGGTGATACTCGGCCACCACCGACAAGTACTGGTCCCACACCAATTCAGGCATTTTTTGGGCAGGCGGCAGGTCGATAAACGAGTTATTGGCCACCTCCTGGCGATAACCATTGTGAAGTTCCAGTAAATACTCACGGAAATAAGCCATATTGACCAGACCGTGAAAACGCAGGCAGTTGTGGTCGAACATCTGCGGAAAACGGGCTTTAAAATATATCTTTATATAAAGTGTTACCAACTTACCATATCGTTGTTGCAACCTATATGATTTTTGCCTTGGCATGACTTAATTTGACAAAAGTCTATGGCCAGGAGGGTTCTGAGTCTGAGGAACAAAACGGAGCTCAGCAAGAATGTGAACTGCAACCTTTGCATTTCGCTTAAAAACTAAACACTTCCGAGTTAATTTTTAAGTGTAATAATGGTTATGTAAAAAAATGGCCAAACGGTAAACTAATTAAACAAAAATAATTAAAAAGGGTTAAGAAAAAACAGTTAACAAGGCAGGGCTAACTTTGACTGAACTACTGAACGTAAATTCTTATTACATTTTTACTTTTAAAGTTGGAAAATGCTTTTTCGGGGTTGGAAAAGGCAACTCATTTCTCATACTAAAATCAGCATTAAAAAGTTATAAAAAAAACACTAACTTTTGCCTAGGAAGCTTCGTTTCTAAAAACTAAACATTATGTTCTTTTTCAAAGCACATTAAATTCTTGTCTAGCTCCCCAAAATAATATTAAATTAAGCCATAACCCGTCTTAAAATCGCTTTCAACTTTGTGCAGCCTTGTCCTTTCCAAACTTTGCATTCTCTGACCGGCTGACGGGCGGTAATCGATTATTTAACGTGCTGACTTTGACTGGCACATGGTAGCTCCCAACTACCACTACTACTACTACTACTATTACCTACGAACTATGGAAATTGGCAACAAAAGCCGAGCTGGACCGGATTGGCCTGGTCAGAGGAGGTGGGAGGGAGGAACATGTCACTGGTCGTCGGCTGGCGATCTGCTGGAAATTGGGGAAAAACAAACCATTTTGCAATTTCACAACTCGTCAGAGATGCGAAAACTGTGAACGGCGCTGATTAGGCAACGTAACGCAGTGATTAGCAGAGCTCGGGAATTTCCCGGACATGCAAAGGGAATGGCAAACGGATTGCATAATGGATAGCAAATGTAACCTCTCCCCTCTATTTTTCACATTCACAGTGCCCACGGCCACCATTCTGGGAGGACCCGATCTATATGTGGACAAGGGCAGCACCATAAATCTCACTTGCATCATCAAGTTTAGCCCAGAGCCGCCGACCCATATCTTCTGGTATCATCAGGATAAGGTAAATATCTCTTAAAATCAATTTGCAGGCTAAAAGTAACCAAATAAAAAACGAAAAAGCGGCAAACCTGCGGGCGAGGGGGAAGACCAATTTAAGGTTTTCCTTTTTGGTGCCAAATTATCTTGCAATAATTGAGTTTGTGCGCAGTAAAAAGCGCAAAAGTGGAGCGCGTTTCGGTGAGGTGGGCAGATGGTGGGGTTCAAAAGAGGCGGGGCCACGCCCAGCCAATTGCTGCAGGATAAACGTTTTTAACTTTTATGAGCTCTGGGCTGGCGCCACTCCAGTATCCAGTGTGTCCGTGTGTGTGTGTGTGTGTGTGAGTTTGTTCGCGTTTGTTTACGCGTCGTATACGCAACGTATTTAATTTTGGCTTTTATGATTATGAGAAAACATGCTTTTGCATTTAGCTCAGCACTCACCAGAGCTTTGGCTTTTCCAACGAGGGAAAATCGCATTTAATATGACAACCGCCGTTTCCCCGGCTTCTATTTTCCTTGTGCTTTTCAGGTGCTCAGCGAGGAGACTTCGGGCGGTCGACTGAAATTCAAGACCATCAAGTCGGAGGAGACCAAATCCATTTTGCTCATTTACGATGCGGATCTCTTGCACTCCGGAAAATACTCGTGTTATCCTTCGAACACGGAAATAGCCAGCATACGCGTCCACGTGCTTCAGGGTGAGTTTCGCTTTTTTAGTATACAATTTTCGCATCGTTTTTTTTGGCCAGCTTTCAGTCTCTCTTTAAGGCCTTAATTGGATGCTCGAGTTTGATAATGTGAATTATACATTCATGCATCTGCTTGACCTCGATTTGTATGCATTAAACTTGCATCTCGTTCTCTCTTTGTTGGGCCAACTTTTGCGCAATTTATGAACTAGTGGCCACAACAGCAGTACACTCGAAGAAATTTATGTCCGAAGTGCTTTTTGGAGAGGAAATTTATTTAAAAAATATATGCTTTTCTGGGCATTTCTAGATCTTTCAACATAAAAGAACTGAAATTTAGCAAAAATATTTTACAAAGTATTATTTTTATCCTAAAATTTGTTTCCAAAACTTCACTTTGTTACCAAATGTAGAGCCTTTTTATGATGCCCAGACAAACTACAAATTTGTTACTCATTCAGCGAAAATCTTGTGCCGTCTCTACGCTACTCTAACAATTTTCCACTTGCCATTTTCATTTCCCATTTCCCGGACAGGCGAGCGACCCGAGGCGATGCAAACGAACGCGGCACCAGCCGCCGTCGCCCTGGCCTGTTGGTCCTGTCACTTTGGCCAGGCCACGCAGGCGGTCAGGGTAATTAGCACAATGGTGGCGGCACTTGTATTGTTGGAGGCCTGCTCTTCGTTGCTCCTACAAGGCGGGGCAGGTGGAGGAGGAGGGTGTCCTGGAGGAGGAACCACTGGAGGAGCTAGGGAGAGGCCAGGACAGGAGAAACCGCCAACAAGTTCCCCAGCTGACCCCAAGGAGACCTCGACGACGTCCGAGGAGCGTGTCAATAATGGCAGCCGGAATGCACGGTGATAAATTAATGTCGCCCAGTTGGAATTCCACCGCCAATGCAGCCAACCAAATGCAGCTGAAATGATTTATAGGAGAAGTTACGGGAGCATCTGGAGCAGGAGCCTGGAGCCTGGAGTCTGTAGCCTGCAGCCTGGAGCCTAGAGCATCAGCATCTGAGGTCCTTCCACTCGAGCTGCATGTAATACCTTTCTGAAAAACCAACTAATTATGCTAATGATGGAAGAGACGCCGTGATGCTCCCTCTGCTGCTCCCGCTGCTGCCCCTTCTCCGTAGCAAGTTGTAAGTAAGTGTGTTTCTAATTAAGTGGGCTGGGGATTAGTTAGTTAGGCGGAAATCAGAGCCATGTACATAAACTTCTCACGTAAATTGCCAGCACACTAGCGAACTTAGCTAAATGGAAAGCATTTCGAACGAATCATCAAATTAGAGAACTATATTCAAGTGGTTTGCTTATAGAGCCATGCCTAGGTGTTTAAATGAATATTAAAGTAAAGAAAATGGAAAAGCGGGGAGTTTTCTTAGAGCTTACAGAGGTTTGGAAAGAGTTCTTTGGGTGGCTACAAAAAGGTTATTAAATAATTCGTTCTTAAAACTTAATAATTTGTATAAGAAAATCTTATTTGTGTATAGATTAGGCACCCTAACAGCTGTTTCTGGATTTCTCAGAACTTAGAAGAAAGCCCCCGAAATTAGAAAGTTAAGGATATACGTAGCAAAAAAGTTTACTCAGATCGTTGTAAATATTAAAGGGATTCGTTCTTGATTTGTGTGTTGTTTTTTGGGTCACCCTGTATAGCCTAGAGTTTAAGCCATGTACATACTTAGAGATACAAAGTAGCTAACCGTTTTTGACACGAACTTCTTCGAAGGTTCCTAAACAAATTTTTCGAACAAATTTACATGTCCACTTCTCCTCTCAATAATCTATGGGGGGAGCTCGGAGAATTCATGAGAAATTCCTGCCAAAAACAAAGAAAAGAAAATAAAACCCAACTCAGTTTGAAGTGCGACTTTCCGGACTAACAATTTATTTAGAAGAATTTCTCCAAGTCATGTGGGCAGTTCCTGTTCCCATTTACAAACTCCTGGCAATTGCCACGAGTTCATTGCTCTCCCAGTCCGAGTGAAATTTAGAGCTCCCATTTCAGCATGTCCGGTTGCATTTTTATGCCCGGCAAGCACAGCCCCTCCGGAAAAAAGGGGAAGACCCAACTGGCAAGTCACTTTTCACTCTTGTCAACAAAATATTTGCATTTCCATTTACCAAGGCGGTCGATTTAGTATTTGTAAGTGTGTGTGTCTTCAGGTTGGGTTTGTCTTGGCAGAACTCTTTGTCCGGCAAAACCAAACGGCGATGGCGATGGCGATGGCGATGGCGATGGCGATGGCGATGGCGATGGCTCCTTCATCCTGTGCCACATTTAAAAATGTATGGCCCCAGCCATGGCTGAGTTAAACTGATCAAAATTGTAAATAAACCTGCATATACCATTATGAATAAACTATAAACTGTACTCAAGTATTTGTGTGGTAGTCATACATTACATATACAAACACGCACTGCTCGCGAATATATATGTATTTAAATATATATATATATATATGGATTTATATACGTACATGAGTGTATCGATATTAAAAATGTAAACCCAACGCATGCAAAATTAGTCGCGACATGTAAATGAATGTTTAATGGGTAAGTTAATGTTGCCATAAAGGGGCAGAGAGCAAAAAAAAACCGAGAATATAATTGCAATTAAGCAAATAAAAATAATATATGTTATAAGCATAATAGGGGGAAAAATAGCGAGTATTATTATAACAGAAAGCAGAAATGCAGAAAGCAGAAAGCGGAAACAAACACAAACTCTGTTGACTTTTGTTGCAAACAAAATGGCAACGCATTATAAAGATTATGAAATTGTTTTTAATTTTTAAGCGACGTAGCTTTCCATAAATAATATGGTAAAAAATCGGTATGAGAAATTTCAATAAAGTTTTTTTAGTTACTACCATCCAATGATAAATATGTATAACAAAGCCGCTCGACTTTTCTTTCGATTTCTGGAAGGGAAAGAGGGAGAAGAGATTTCGTAGCTGGTGCCACCGCATGCTGAGCTGAATCCTGGCAAGATTTATGCAAATATTTTCCATTGCCATTCATGCATTTAGCCTGGGAATTTTAATGGGCCACACGCACAGGACCACAGACAATGGTAGGTTTGTTGGGTGGAGATGATTCCCCACGGGAGACTGCAAGTTTTCTTCGCTTTTTTCGGGGCAGGCATTTTCCATTTTTCAGCCTAATAAAGCCGCAATGCAAAGGCAGGCAAACTGTTGGCAAGAAGAATGGGCATTAAGTGCCCGCCTGGCAGCTGTCCCAACGAATCCAACGATTCCTACGAATCCTTCCAAGACCTAGCAGTGGGCCATGTGTGGCAGGACTCTGTTTGCGCTTTGGTAAGACATCAAAAGCCGTTAACATAAAAGTTTATTATATGACAAGTAAGTATGTACGTATCTGTGTCTGCGTGTGTGTGTGTGTGTGTGTGTGTGCTTGTCCTGGCCCATAATATCATGCCAAAAAGTTTAATAGCGCACATCGCGACAACCCAGGACCTCTGCTTGCCCCACTCTTTCCCCCCCTGAATCCAGAGTCTTGAATCCCGAATCCATTGAGTGGAAAGCGTAAGGAGCGAATAAGGCGCATAAGGCTCATGAAGCGGAAAGTTCCCCTGCCTCTGTCCGGAAAGGCAGTATTACCCTAGATGATGACGACGATGATTGGAATACTCTGGTTTCGGGACCACAGCCTCGTCTTCAAGATGGATGGACTTGAGGGAGTCGATAAATCGGAGGATCTGCACAGGAAGTTTTAAAGTTGTGTTTACTGAAAGAAAAATAAATGGAAAATCGAAAATATTTTAATAACTTATTGCTGATTAAACTATTTGTTAATTTAAAAAGTATGCTTTAAAGAACATGGCATCTAGGGCTAAACCTAGACCAACCTGGTGCTCGTTCTGTACAAAAATCTGCCCCTAAAAGGCGGCAACGCAATTGTCGGATATTACCTTTAATTGCACATAGCTCGGTTCGGGTTCGGGTCACAGATGTGGAGCGGAGTGGAGAGATGAAAGCCGGAATGCCCGGGGAATGTGGCACACAGTTGGGTCCGAGGAAAGGCAATCGACAAAAGGGAAAATAAATTATCATCATTGTGACATTTTCATTTGTCAACGTAATTCTCCTTGTGCCGCATTCCTGCGCTGCCTAAAAGGACACTACACTCGCTTTTTCCCACTGCCGCAGGATCAACATTAAAAAAGTCTGGAAATTTGGGCAGGAATTTCACTTGGCTTTGACGGGCGGCAAATAAAAATAATAAAAGGCAAAAGCAAACACGTTCGCCTTTTATGTTGCCATATGTATCCTGTGGAGCAGACCGCGTACACTTTTAATGCGAATCATACTGATTTGATTTTATGCGACTCAGCCGCCCATTCATTCGTTCGTCTGCACCTGAAGTTGCAATTTAAATTCGCTTATTGAACATAAATCAAAGGTCTAAGGCTTCAAATGCACAATGTACACTCGTACATAGTCGTGTGTCTTTGCGAAAATCCAGTACATAATTTATTGACATGACTGTGAGTCCTGGCAGGACCAAAGCCCTGTCATGGACTGCCGAATATTGTCCTCCAGCTGCCAACTGGTATATTGTACATTATTTTCCTAGTACTGATCCCCCCTTCGAACGTTCTGGCGTGTTTGTGGCACTGTCAAAGCGAATGCCATTGGCCAATTTAAATTGCAGCAAAGTGACGAGTTAAATGCATTCCTCCTTTCCCGATTTTCCACATTGATTTCTAACGACTTAAGCTGCTCTAATGGCTTTAACTCGGTTAAGTTTAACTTTGTTTCGAACTTTTAAGCTCACAAACAATACACTTTCCTCCTCATTAGTGCTTGCATAAAGCTTTATTAATAAGTATAATTACTTGCACATTCCCTTAATTTCCTTAATATTTCTCTTTTGAAACAAAACAATGGCGGAGGAGGAGGCTCAGAAAAAAGGAAACAAAATTTGTTGGCTATATTGTTTACACATGTAATGAAATTTCTGTGGTTATTCAGCCGGGAAAAGAGAGCGGGTTGGCGGATACGCATTCGTTTCCCTTGGCAATTATTTTGGCGCCACTTTTTCACTCAAATTTTTCATTTTTGTGCTTTAAAAATAGCAAATTAATTATATTTCACGCCGCGTTGTCGACGGCAACAAAAAATAGAATAGAAAAAACCCTGCCCTGGCTCATAATTAAATTTCGCATTTGTGCGTGGGGATTGAAATAGGAAAATGGGGGTAAAATGGGGACCGAAGGGGTTACATGGCGGATGCGTATGGAATTGCGGTTTTGGGCCGGGGAAGTAATACGGCTTTGATTAGGAAATCGGTTTAAATGGGTTCCCATTCCCGCTGACTGTTCGTTTTGTTTTTCTCTGCTTTTGTTTGGGAATTTCGTTTTGATAATTTTTCTGTGTATTCTTGTGGTTTTCCGTTTTTGCAGTGCCGTATATGTGTATGTGAGCCAGTTTTAGCCGAGAATTGCTTTTTGAATATGTGCGACATTGTTGGGGTTGTCTCCATAAATGGATAACCTCGCTGGTCTGAATTTGTTGCTCACTCTGTGCCCACTTTGGGCTGTCATTTTTGCGGTCAACACTCCCACTAAAGCACACCCTCTGGAAAAACCCATACGAAAAGTCCTCCTAATGCAATTTGTCATTTTCAATTTTTGGTTTCTCTAGCTCTGGCTCTGGCTATGGCTATGGCTCTAGCTCTGGGACTGGGCTGTGGATCTGGCTTTTGTCTCAAATGGAATTTTTGGCATTTCGTTCACATAAATTAGGCCCGAACGTCTGTCCGAGCTGTCTGTTCAGCTGGCCTTGTTTATTCTTGCCAGTGCTGCACTCAAATTGCTGTGTAAATAATTATTTTTGCCATTTTGTTTGAATGCAAATTGTTTATTTTTCGCATATTTCTCCATCTCGTTAGCAGTTGGCAATTTCATTAGGAGCTGTGACTGCAAATTGTAAAGGGGAATTGCTCTCTCGTCTCTCTAGCCGTCACGGTTACACGACCGAAGCTGTCATAATCGTTAATCCATATGGCCATCTGATCCGGGCTCAGCCGCAAGATAACTCGATTTGCTGGCAACTGTCGTTCTTGGTCAATTTCAGTTGGCATCAAATGCAATTACCCATCTGCTTTCGATGTGTGTGAGTGCCCCATTAAATAGACGGGTGGCCAAATCCGGGGCAATGATTCCTAAATAGGATAAAATTGACTAAATTTTTATTTGGATTTTAATGCAAAAATGTTTCAGTTTTAAAAACAATTGGCAATAAAATATTTAATACACTTTGTAGTTGAAATAGTTTTGGTTTTCTATCAAGAAACTTATTTTACTCTCATTCTCATGAGACTTCCTCAGCTTGCAAACTAAACTTACCCTCTTAGGAGGTCGTATTAATTTAAATAGTTGTACTTTGTTCTACCCCCAAGCCAAAATACCCCAAGAGATGAGTGAGAATATAATTTAAAATCACAATCAATTGAATTCACTTATCTCTGGCTGCACATCTTGTCATTATCCCTTCGCCGTAGTTCGAGTTATGAGCTGTCAGGATGGATGAAAAATCCCCTGGCCCTGGTGTGCATTTAATGCCATTTAAGCCGGTCCTTTTGCCGAGGCGGACAGTGTCCGATTGCCGGGCACTTAACTGAAATACAATTTTTATGGCTGCGCGAGGAGTGGAGAATGTCGGAATGGAATCCTGGCTGGTGATGGGCCACCACCACCATCATCTCCACATCCTTCTGTCACATTTATTGCATACTTTTGCGCTCGAGTTGCGACTTTTCGCACATCCTTGTGACTGCATAATTTTGCCGGCATATTCTCATCTTTCGTTTGTATTTTGCATGATTTACTCTGATTTCAGCTGGCTGCCCTCGCTCTCGCCCTCCCCCTCACAGTCCTCCCCCTCACAGTCCTCCCCCCATTCAGCCAGCTTTTGTAGTTTTATCACACACTTGACCCATAAATCAAACATGTGTAAATGTTTTCACTTTATATGCGCACTCATACAGGCACATCAAATGCTTCGGCCGCCGCCGCCGTCGCCTCTATCTATTTTCCCCTCTCTCTCTCTCTCTCTCTCTCTGATTTCCCTAGCTGAAAAGGATAGCGAGGATAGAGTGGAGCAAGGTCCTTCGTCCTGGGTGCTCGTCCTCCGGTTCGTGCGTGTAAACGAAGTAGAAAAGCGTGTAAAATATGCCGCAAATAGCTGGCTTCTTGTTATTCCCAATCCTGGTTCTCTGAATATATATATGAGTCCTTTTTTCCTCCTGGCGTCCTGTCCCCTGAGTTTGGTGTCAATCCCTTTTGATGGCCCACTGACATTTTCGGCGGCTTGTCATTCCAGTTTTTGTGCGAATTTTTATTGGCTTAGTGGGCATAAAGTAGAATGAGTTCCAGGCATAAATTTCCCATGCATTCACACACTTTTTCGTGCTGGCTTTGGCTTTAATAAATAACCGAAAAATGCCCCGACACAAGCCCGAACAGCCCGCTAATTGTGTCAAAAAAAAAAAAAAAACGATAATAAAAACCAAATATATTTTATGAAATTGTATTTGCAGCTGGCAGCCTTTGGGGGCCAAACGCAATTTGTTGCAATTTAAATTTGAACTCTTTGCAATCGCCACTAATGACGATGTTGGCGGTGTGATTTTATGAATCGAATTTATCGCTCAACTCAATTAAATTAGGCGGGCTAGGTGTGATGAGTGTTTGCCACATTTTCACTTATGCATAGCATAAATTCCGGGCTGAGAAATGGCCGCAATTTGTTGGCTGGCATGTTTAGTGGGAGCGGCAGCTGTGGCAACTTTGTGACCCAGGAAGAGTGACCCTGAATCTGAATCTCCAGTGACCAAGGGATCCTTGCTGATGTCCTGGCA